CGTACCCTCAAAGACACTCTGCTGCACATCCCCTGTGTACTACTTGTAAGCCTCTTTGAAATTAGTACACAAAATATAATGGACACACGCTAAAAAAGATCTACCCTTAATATGTGTTAACAAACAAACAAACAAAAAACAGACCTCGAAATAACCACATGACTAAATCATTCAATGAGACAAAGAGTTACTTGAAAACAAAATACACAATCGGAAATAAATATAAAGACCACAAGCCGCTAGGTGAGAAAATATTTTCAGATGATGAAAATCAGACAGAAATCGATCTCGTTTTTTTTTCTACCCATGTGAAAGCACACACTAACTATACAGAAGTACGTAGGCCATGTATGTGATTGCGTTAATAATTATGCATTGGAAACCATTCGGAAAACGTACACACTATACATTGAAAGGCTCAGATAACCGATAAAATATCTTCATCAATAGTGACTGCCAACTAGGATGAAATAACAAACCATAGAAATCAATTCAGTGTCTTAGTGTTATCAAGGAACAATTGACGGATAGGGTACTAAATCATTTCACTGAGGTCGACAAATAGATAATCTAATCAAGTTTCGAATCATCATAAACATAAGAACGCACAATCACTGGTCAGTTGACCAGATATAATAAACTTCTGAACGCCCACTATATCATTGATTCTGAAATCTCCTGTATAAAAATGTTATAATGTATATAAGTAAGGGGAATTAAATTGAAGACCTATTATTAATTGGGTTTAGTTTTTTTAAAAAAAAAGTGGGAATAATAAACATTTCCTGAAACATATGTTGATCTTACCTTGCCTTAAGAGATGATAACCAGTCATAAAATGTAGTTAAGGCAATCGACAATGGAGTTCGCAATTGTGTTTTGTAGTCTGTTTCCTCCGATGGAAAGGAATCCAATAAATTGTCCATAGTATTGGTCCACTGAGAAAGAAGTTTACCATAATGCTATACAAACAAACACAAAATAAAACTTTCGTCTAGAAAATTAACATAACACTGTAAACAATGACAATTATCAGACACCATTTAATAGTAGTGAGCTAAATTAGTTTGTCAAAATGGTACCTTCATGTTTTCACATCGATAAAATACTGGTCATTGAGTCGTCGTCTTATGTGGTTCGGTTGATTAACAAAGAAAAAATTGATGAGAGAGAATGAGTATTTATGCGTTGTTATCACCAATAACAAACACTACACAATAATTGGTGTACCGGAGCTAAAAGAGAAGGTCGAAAACGAAAAGAATTGCAGTGTTTTTCACAATCCTTCTCATTAATAAGCTCTGACTTAATTTACAATAACGATTGAGTGCTTGAAAAATTATCGTAAATTACAAAGTACTGCTTCTCTATAAAAGATTTTTAGCTGAGATTAATGGAATCACAAAGGAAAAAATAGCAGGCTTCGAAATGATCGGTTTTAACATAGCTTCAACGATGCTACAACTCCCACGAAAAATAATCAGATGACCAACTCAACATGAATAGGACTTATTCTGAATGTGCATGACTCAGTTTGAGAATAATTTCAAAAACAATCAGTTATCAATCAAATTCGATTTGTTTATTCAGTCATAAAATCATACATTGGATGTGAGAACTAGTGACACTACTCACTCGAAGATACAAAATTCAGGCCAATGCAGCATGATTCGAATCTGCACAAACACTGCATTGTTTGATAATCTACAGCTGAACGATAGAATAAAACTTTATTGCTTCGTATTTTTTCATCCTCCATTTAAGTATTAAATCGATGTGAAATAATAAAAATAGTAACTCCTAGAAGTCTCCGTCATTCATCCTATACAGTCAAAGCAAGTGCACATAGATTCAAAGACTAAAAAAAATTTAAAACGACGAACAATATAACAAGATAAAACACAAAGTGATACCGTGAGATAACTTTTATCAATATCCAGTTGTCGACGTTCATCTTCCAATCTTTCTGAGCATAGATTTTCATTAACTTTCAAATCCAAATCCAACAACCCAGTCACAGATTTCTCTTCTAAGCGTGATAATAGTGTAATAAGTGGAAGTGCATCCCAACGTATTGATGTTAAAAGAGGGAGAATATCAGCTTCATTTACCAACGAACTATTGGGCACATCGGTCACTGAAAATGATGAATGACAAATGTCTTACAAGTTATGCAGTCTTTTTTTTACGAAAAAGAGCAATGAAAGCATGTGACAGATAAAATTCTCGGTCATATCACAAGAACCATATATGTATTTACATCACTAATAAACAACGTCATTGTCTGTGTTAAGTAAATCGCAAAAAAAATCTCGACGCAGATGCAGACGGTGAAGTTCCACTGGCTTTCCAATGCAAACGAATTGTGCTTCTGCTCACCAGAAGGTAAGCACACCCTCAAAGCAGTTCAATTAGTCATTAACCTTATTCAAAGGACTACACTATCTCATTTGAAAGTAACGCATTCGTGTAAAGTAATAAAAAAGATTTGACCTTCTATCAGGAAATTAATTTGTTGACTTGCAATATGCAGATGATATAGTTTTGTTTGGTGAAGACGCTGACAAAATGCAGAGTTTTCTAACCACATTAGGCAACAAGGCAAGCATATTCGGGATGCGATTCTCCCACTCAAAGTGCAAAATGTTGCTTCAAGATTGGTTTGCATCAGTGCCTGAACTAGTAACAGGGAGTAAAGTAGTTTAGCGTGTCGATTGCTCCACTTATCTTGAGAGTCTCATCAGTCCTCATAACTTGTAGTCCGACACAATCTCAGCACAGATACAGAAGTCTCAAATGGCGCTTGCCAACTTACGTTACTTATTGCATAGGTGATATATCCGTCTACCAACCAAGGGATGAGTCTATTGCGCAGCAGTTCGTTCCGTCCTACTATACGAGTGGTCAGTAGGAGTAAAGGATAATCGTAGGTTACTGGATTTCAATCACAGTTGTCTTCGAAACGTTGCTTGTATATACTGGAACCTCCAAGTAAGCAATGCTGTTGTTAGGAAACAGGTACTAGGTAAGGACGACATACCAATTGATGAAGTACTGAATGCTCATCAGTTGAGGTGATCGGGATATATGTTATGTATGGCCAACCACCCACTGCTTCGACGAGCTATGTTTTGTGGTGAAGGGATAGGCTAGAAGAAAGCTAGGGGCAGTCAGATCGAAACATGGAACAAATCCGTGGAGTCACTGACAAGTGAACTGAGCCATGATAGTATAACTAGACTGCCTGGTTGGGGTCCGCAAGACAACAGTAACCGACGGTTAAAGACTTTAAATGACATATCTCAAAATCGTTTGCAATGGGGCAGGTGCATCCATTCTTTGTCTTCTCTCTGATTCTAATCTTCTGAATTTCTTATGACCTTTCTTGTCTTGTTAAATCAAATTCACCGAGATATACTTCTCGAATCATATCTTACATCTCTAATGTTTTCAGTTACCGATAATACTGCTACTACCTCTACTACCATGGGATTTAAATAGACATTTCCATCTTTTAGACTAATGTGCTATGGCAAGTAATCTCAACGTAATCCAAATTGCATAATCAAATAT